CCATAAATGAAAATACTTTCAATTAGACCATGAAGAGATGGTGACTACCAGATTGATTAAAACACAGATCTAACTGTTGTCTGCAACACACCAAGACTGAGCTGAAAGGATAGAAAACAATGTTCTGTGAAAATAGAATAAAATGCCAAACAAAAGTAAAATAGTTTTCATGGTCTAAATAATCATGGGAGATAAAGATCACCACATATTAATAAAAGGACTATTACACCAAGAAGATATGATAGTCAATGTATATGTACCAAATATTGGTATATCCAATTTTATAAACTACTATTTGACATAAAGAGACAGACAAGTGTGGCATTATACTATGGGCAACTTCAATACTTCATGATTATCAATAGGTTGTCTACAAGACAAAAGCCAGAAAAGCAACCTCAATGGTAACTTATATCATAGACCAAATGGAGTTAGACATTCACAAAATATTGTACCCATCTATCCAACAGCTATGAAGAACACATTCTCAGCATCTTATGAAACTTTCTTTGAAATAAATCTCACATTAGACCATAAAGCAAGTTTCACAAATACAAAAGAATTAAAATATTTATATGTCTTATCAGGTCACAATGGAATAAAATTAGAAGTCAAGAGAAATTAGAGGGACTGTATCAGCACACAGAGACTAACAACAGACTCTTGAAGGATCAGTGAGCCATAGGAGAAATCAGGAAGGAAAATTTAAAATCGCACATTTAAGCAAGTAAGTAGTTGATAATAAAATACTTTGTTTTAATTATACATATCACTTTTCACCAGCAATTATTTCATAATATTCATCTAGTAATTACAAAACAGTTGTTTCAAAAGTTAAAGAGAAAATCTGTTCTTATAATAAGTCCAGTTGCTGCAATGGAACTGCTAAGGAATTATGCAACATGGTAATTTACAAATTGTTTTCCTACTTATAAACATACACTCAGAATTTTAGTTTCCAGAATAATAAGGACCTTTCTTCTGACAATATTCTTTCAGGATGGGAACGTCTACAAGTAATGTGAATTCTAGACTACCAATAATAAAATAAAGAACAACATAAAGCATTTTATGCATTGACATTTTTAAAGCTGCTCTTATTCAAGTAGTCTCTTAGTTTTTAAATATGGGATAGTCACACCTGGAATAATTCTTACCTATGTTGGCTCTTTCGGACTTCTCATACCTCTTTTCTTTATATTCAAGAAGGATTTCCATGTTGCTTTGTAAACATGATAAGTAAAGTTAATATTGTTGTGAAAACCATTCACTAAGCATGTAAATTCTTCACGGTATTTACTGCCTCATAGAGCATCAACTGTTAAGTAGCCCAAGCCTTTATGGCTAAGTGTGTCCTTTTAGAAGGCTCTAGACTGGATCAGCAGGAACAAACTGGCAGTTATCTGTCTTCCTGGACTTCAGTGCAAGCTTTAACAGCAGTCCTGAAGCAAGAAAGAGACTTAACAGAAAGAAAGCTCCCCTTCTCCCTGCTCCTTCTGACCCTGGACTTGAGCAAATCACTAAGTTCCAGGGACATTTATGAAGGTGTTTGTGGAAGATGGATTCTGGTGGAAAAAATCACTTTAATGCCAAACTAGACATTTTTAGACTCAAATATATCATTAGAATAGATTTAATAGAATCAATTAAATCATAGACGTGGCACTATGTCTTCCCTGTGCTATAGGGGGAATATTTGGGATGAATAGTGCTGGGATTCCCAAGAATTAAGATCTTAAAAGACCCAGGATAGAGGCTTGTGGTAAAGCTCAATGGTAAAACTTGGGAAGCATGTAGGGAGATCCGGGTTCAACTCTCAGTACCACCAAAACCAAACAAAAAAACAAAACAAAAAAACAAAACAAAACAAAACAACAATGAAGGCCCAAAATTATGAATCCCTCACCCACTCCAGGGTGGCCTTTGCTTGGTACCTGTTAATGAATGTAGACTAAGTCCCTGGTATTCTAAATCTATCTGAACTGAGTAAGAAGCTTGCCCTGAGGTATAAGATGTGCTATTATAATTACTTTGAACCTCCACTTAATAGTAACTAGCATTTAATGTAAGTACTTACATATCATGTTTAAAATTAGCAGCATAATCCATTGCAGTCAACCCAAAGACATCTTTCAAAAAGAGGTCTACACCTTGCTGAAGAACAAATCTGACTAGGTTTGTTGAGTCGTGACTTACAGCATGCATGAGGGCTGTTCTGAAAAAGTGGAGAAATAACATCACCCTTAGTACTTTAACAAAATTAAGGACTAGTTTGCTATACTTGATCTACTTATTGTCTAAGTAGAATTGGCTATTGACACATAACAGCCAAGCATCTTGAGGTCTTGAGACTTTAAGTAGAAAAAAATATGGAGCTTCCCACCCCCCTGTGAAAATTTATCATAGATGCTACTTTGGTGGACAATAACTACTCCAAGGGCATGTGTCTGGAGCTGTAAAATTTAAATGAAGAACTCTCATCAGGTGTGATGGCACATGCCTGGGATCACATACAAAGCAAGACTCTGACTCTAAAACAAACTAAAGCAAACCACCAAATAAAGTGTTCTATTTCCTATTAATTCAATATTTATAACTGAGTACTTGTTACCACTGTACACCATCACTAATGTTTAAAAGATTATAATACCTTTTCTGGTTATCAATTGCATGTATATTAGCATTCTTCATTAATAAAAATTTTGCCATCTTCAGTTTGTTTTCACTGACAGCCAATAAAAATGGTGTGAAGCCACTCTGTAAAATGACAAAAGCCATTTAAAACTCACAAAAATCATATATTTGGCAACTGAGTTGAAAACTTTTAGAAAGGCTCTCTGGATACAATTATATGATGAGGACACAGATGAAGTGTAATCCTTATGCCTTCCCGTAACACGAAAAATAAAAGACCCAGCGACTGATATTGGGTTCAAACATCAAGCTGAAGGTCAGAAAAGCAAAGTAACCGGCCACTAGCTCTTACCGATACCTCAAGCTGAAAGGGCTGATCCTGCTGCCTCTCTTCAGTGTGGCTGGAGAATGAATGCCTGATACTGAGACCTTGCTCCTGTTTCATATACCTCTCTAGTGCTGGGATTAAAGGCATGAGCTCTGTTACTCTTTTAGACTGATTCAATCTCATGTATCCCTGGGTGGCCCTGAACTCAGAGAGATCTGTCTACCTCTTCATCTTGAGTTTTAGGATTAAATATGTGTACCACCACCTCCTAGTTTCTGGTTGCTGGGATTAAAAGTGTGTGCCTGACTTCTATGGCTTGTGTCTGACTTTGCTTTCTGAATCCTCAGGCAAGCTGTTTTAACAAATCCTAAATAGTATATCACCACACCTCCCATGCCCATGTACCATGGAAGCTCCAGTCCTCTTCCAAATGTCCATACTCACTGTCTCCAAGAGTATTTGTTCCTATTATGGTGTTTACCACAGCAGTTTGGAGTCATGTGACTGCTCTCATGTAAATCAACATCTTGTTTTATGTTATTGCCCTCAGATTCTAAACCGTAGTAGTAAAATGGTACATGTTTTACTGAGTTAGTGAGCTATGCCATCATCTCCAGTTCTAAATTTACCTTCTAAAGAATATTTACTAGAAATACTGTGTCTTACAGAAAAGATCTAATATTCCTCTAAGAACTACTATAAAAGTATATATTATACATCCAGTATTAAGAAAATACTTTTATCCTTGATCACTCCCTCTTGAAAAATAGTTATGAAATGAAATTGGCATTAGAGGAAATGTAGCCTTCTGGATACATTGTGGTGAGCTTTCTAATGATGTAAGAGTTTGCTCCAGGTTGCTAAGGAGTCTTGCTTGCTACTTTTCTTTTATGGTGTCATGATTCCAGATGCAAACATTACTAGGCACTCCTGCAAGGGATTCATACAAAATAGCTTTTGAATCAAAAGACTCTGGCTTCAAATGAACTTTGCTTATAAGTAGTTGGTTTGTGAGTGTAGCTATTAGAAAGCTCAGCACAAGGGGAGGTGGTTCAGTGAATAAAATTTCATGAGGAGCTGAGTCCAGATCCCCCCCAGTGCCCATGTAAAATCCAGATGTGGCTGCACATGTCTGTAATCACAGCAATGGCAAGTAGAGGCAGGAGGATCCAAGAGCTCACTAGTCAGTCAAAACAGGAGTAAAAGAATAAAGATATCTGGTGGGCAAACTATAGCCTTTACATATGCACAATGCATGCTTACATACTCAAAACTTAATACAAAATTTTACTCTCATAATAACAATTCTGAGATCATATTTCATAAATATTTTCACATCTTTATCCACTGTCTAAATTCTAAAACTCAGTCCCACTTCTAAGAGACTAATGTAAAATATTGATGATGTTCTTGTAACTTATTTACAAACTCTGGAACATTTATCAAACCAGTGTATAAAACAAGGGTTGTAAAGTGAAATGCTTGGAGAGGCAGAGCAAGTGACATAGATGTATATTGAGTTGGGTCATTGCAACCTGGAGCACATGTGTGCCTCTCATACAGGGTATGAGTCACACAGGTTCAGAGCTGTGTCCTCTGCATAGGTATAAAACAGTCAAACATGGCCTTCCCTGGTTTGGGGTTTTGGCTCAAAGGAGGAAAAAAACCCCAGAGAAAGTCACTAACTGGAAATTGCATTCAGTTTCCCTGGGTAAGAGTCAATTCAAAATGCAATCTGACTTCATTATGTAAACTCTGGCAAGATATTATAGGTTTGAGAAATTACAGCCTTTTCCCAGTGGCTCTTCCTGCCAGAAAAGCCTAACATGTCAGGTAAATACCAGTTTTTCACTCTGGTTTCCGACTTAATTCATCACTAAGTCATCAACATCGCTTCCTCAGCACCATCCTGAAATTGATCTTCATTCGTAATTAGGACTCCATGAATTTCTTTTCCAAACTGAGGTGTTCAGATAGAACATCACCTTGGTGAACAGTTGGAGAAAATTCCAAGACAAAAAGATAGAAGAAAACAAAATCATGTTGGTCTTTTGCTCAGTTGCCTTGTTCCTTTCTTATATATGACATCTACCTTATTAATCACTTCAATATTCACTTCATGTTCAAGCAGTTTTGCAGCCAGTGATGTATTCTTATAATAGACAGCATAGTGGAGAGCGCTGTTGCCCAGGGCATCCACAATATTTGGGTCAGCGCCATTCACCAGCAGAATGGTGGCACATTCTTCTTCCTGACATTGCACAGCCTGTTGAAATTGCACCAAGAAACAGACCATAAATTCAAAGAATTCAGGATAAACATCACACAGGGTTCACCATCTATTTACTTTAATCCGACATAGATTCCTTTTCATTCTAAGCATTTTAATCAAGGCTGACTTATGCTGAAATCCTTAGTTGTCACATACCTTCACTAGACCTGTGCACTTGTCACTGTCAATGGCATCAATCTCACACTGTCCCTCTAACAGGGCCATCACTACTTTTGGGTGACCATAAGCGCAGGCAATGTGTAGAGCAGTTCTGTGAAAATGGAATGTCTTTTTAGAAATGATACAGCATGACTGAAAAATACAATCCCTCTTGCAATTTTAAACATTAAACCATACACAATTCCTCGGTCTTCAAATCAAGTATTTATGGGGTGCTATCTTAGCATCCTGGCATACAGTGCCACGTGGACTGGGTGTGGTGGTAGCTTCTCGACCTACAAGTACCACATAGACTGGGTGTGGTGGTGAACGACTCCAGTTTAGCCCTGAAGAAGTGAAAGCAGGAGGATCAGAAGTTCAATCATCTTTGGCTACATAGCAAGTTTGAGGCCAGTTGGGCTACACAAGACCTCATCTTAAAGGAAAAAAGCTTAAAAATTTATTTCACAGAAGTTATAGTATTTATTGTTAATGATCCTTATACCAGTGAAAGTACAGTACAGTGTATCCGGATGGAAGGTGTGTGTGTGTGTGTGTGTGTGTGTGTGTGTGTGTGTGTGTGTGTGTGTGCTCCAAGTATTGTTAAGGTACTTTTTGCTAATTTGACACTAGCTAGAATTACCTGGAAGAGAAACCTTGATTAGGAAAATGTCCCCAGTAGACTGGCCTGTAGGCAAGTCTGTAGGGGCACTTTCTTAATTAATGATTGATGTGGGAGGACCCATCCCTCTGTGGGTGGTGCCACCTCTGGGCAGGGAGTCCTGGGCGATATAAGAAAGCAGGCTGCCATGGAAAGCACTATTCCTCCATGTCTTCTGCTTCAGTTCCTGCCTCCAGGTTCTTGCCTTGAGTTCCTGACCTGACTTCAACCAGTGATGGATTGTGACCTGGGAGTTATAATATAGAAAAAAACCCTTTCCTCTCCTCGTTGCTTTTGGTCATGGTGTTTATCACAGCAAGACGAAGCTTACTAGGACATGCATGTCAGGCAGGTGCTCTCCCACTGAGCTCTGCCCCCGTTCAGAGCGGATAATTTGAATGGAAGTATGTATGCTTTGTAATTAGTTCCACTAGAGTTTGAACTTGGATTTGCTTTAAGCTCTGTTATTTATTAGCTATGCCTTATCCTTTCTATTCCTTAATTTTTCTGTCAGCAAAATGGGCACTGAAGTTAGTATCTGTCTCCTCAGACCCCGGTATATTTTGATGAGAATCATATAAAGTGGTTTTAAAAGTTTCCAGCAAGCCGGGCTGTGGTGGTGCACGCCTTTAATCCCAGCACTCGGGGGAGGCAGAGGCAGGCGGATCTCTGTGAGTTCGAGGCTGGGCTGGACCGATAGCCTCCAAAACAATACAGAGAAACCCTGTCTCGTAAAAACCAAAAAAAAAAAAAGTTTCCAGCAAAAGTAACAGCTCAGTGTTTGTCAGGTGTTGTAATTATCACTACCGTGACAACTTAGAAGGACAGTGTTCCCAATAATTAGCAGAATCACAACCATCTCGCATGTTTTAAGGGTTGTCTCACTGTGTCTAAAATGTTCTTTTCTCATAGAGAACATCTCTGGAGTTGGAGTTCAAGTTATAACTCATGACATATTGTAGCTTTTGTTTGGTAGCATTTTGGCATTTTCTTAATACACAAAATAAATGTCATCATTGAACCCATAATGTCCCACACTAAATGAAAAATGGTATTTTTAATAGGTCCATGGAAGATATAGCCGTCTGCTTGACTATACCATGGGCAAAGAGTTCTGAATAACAATGAAAATTATTTTTCTTTGATTTTTAAAGAATCTGTAACCCAAGAAAACTCAAGGTTCATATGGGTAGGTCTAGCTCCTCTTTTGAATCTTAAGTTTAATAGATTGCATGAAAGTCAGATATTTCCATTGATTCAATGGAAATGGACAGTATTCAATACTGTCCTCAATTTTCAAATGGTCAATGAAAGAATGCTTTAATTTGAAGGGAGGAGGAAAGGCTAAACTGAGCCCTGTTACTTCCTTTTTTTTCCTTTTTAATTTTTTTTTTTTCATTTATTTACCAACCATAGTTTTCCCTCCCTCCTCTCTTCTCTCCTCTCCTCTTAACTTCCATCTACACCCTCCTCCTCTATTCAGAAAGGGTCAGGCCTCCCATGTGAGTCAACAAAGCATGTCACATCAAGTTGAGGCAGGACCAAGTTCCCCACCCTGCATCAAGGCTGGGTAAGGTGAACCAGCAAGAGGAGTAGGTTCCCAAAAGCCAGCTCAAGCACTGGGAATAGGACATGATCCCACTGCTAGGACTCCCACAAACAGGCCAAGCTACACAACTGTCACACACATGCAGAAAGCCTAGGTTGGTTCCATGTAGGTTCCCTAGCTGTTGGTCCAGAGTACATGAGTTCCCACGAGCTTGGGTCAGTTGTCTCTGATGGGGGTCGGTTCCCCATCATGATCTTGACTTCCACCCTTGCTCATAAATCCCTTTTCCCTCTCTTCAACTGGACTCCTGGAGTTTGGCCCGGTACTTGGCTGTGGATCTCTGCATATGCTTCCATTAGTTAGTGGATGAAGGATCTCTGATGATAATTAGGGTAGTCACCAATCTGATTACAGGAGAAGGCCAGTTCAGGCAACTACTCCTCTATTGCTAGGAGTCTTAGCTGGGGTCATCCTTGTGGATTCCTGGGAGTTTCCCTGGCACCAGATTTCTTCCTAACTCCCAAATGCCCCCATCAAGATATCTCTTTCACTACTCTCCCCATCTGACCCACTCCCAACTTGATCAACCTGATCCTTCACCTCTGACTCCCAGGTTACCTAGAAGATCTCATCTATTTCCCCTTCCCAGGGAAATCCATGCATCATTCTTTGGGCATGCCTTGTTACCTAGCTTCTCTGGCACCGTGGATTGTAGCCTGGTTATTCTTTGCTTTATATCTAATATCCACTTATGAGTAAGTACATAACCATATTTGTCTTTCTGGGTCTGGATTACCTCACTCAGGATGATTTCAACAAGATAAAACATCAGGCTACAGAATGGTAAAAGGTCTTCACCAACCACACATCTGACAGAGGGCTGATTTCCAAAATATATAAAGAATTCAAGAAACTAGAAATTAAAATACCAAATAATCCAATTTAAAAATGGGTATATTAAAAGAGAATTCTCAACGAAAGAATCCCAAATGCCTGAGAAACATTTAAAAGAACTTTTCAACATCCTTGGCTGTCAGAGAAGTGCAAATCAAAACAACTCTGAGATACCATCTCACACCTGTCAGAATGGCTAAGATCAAAAGCACTAATGACAGTCTATGTTGGAGAAGATGTGGAATAAGGGGAACACTCCTCTACTGTTGGTGGAAGTGCAAACTTGTACAGCTACTTTGGAAATCGATATGGTGGTTTCTCAGATAATTGGGAATCAATCTACCTCAAGACCCATTAATACTATTCTTGGGCATATACTTAAAGAATGCTCAATCATACCACAAGGACATTTGCTCAACTATGCTCATAGCATCACTATTTAAAATAGCCAGAACCTGGAAACAACCTACATGCCCCTCCACTGAAGAATGGATAAAGAAAATGTAATACATATATGCAATTGAGTATTACTCAGCATTAAAAAACAATGATATCATGAAATTTTCAGGCAAATGGGGGGAACTAGAAAAAAAAGCCATCCTGTTGCTTCCCTTTTACACCTTTCACTTTGCTAGCTTCAGCAAAGCTCAGGATAAAAGTGTCCTGAGAGATGGAATATATCTTCTGCCTATTTGGTATTTAGGATACTTTTAATGAGTGAATGTATGAAAGAATGGAATAAATATAGTTACAGAAGTCAGTATTTTAATGAAGTGAAATGATACTTCTGCAGTGGTGATAATCAATTTTGGTTGTCATCCTTTGTTTTCTTAGGGATGCAACTAAAGTGAAATTATCAACCTACAGTTGTTTGCAATATGCAATAAATCTATATATAAAACATTCATGCATGTACTCTCAATAAAGCCAACAAATATATTCTCCTGGCTTTGAAAGACATGAAGTGTTAGCAGAAATACCAGTTCAAGCATATGACACACAATTTCTAAACAGAAGTGAGCAGGGTTAGTATTCCCGTTCTTCCGAAGGTTTGTTGTAATAAGTGTTCACTACAACTTTAATTCATGTTCATTCTAGAAGTCAAGATAATTAGGAAAGAACAAGTGTGTGAGTAACTTTCTTCAAAACCAGCTGTACTCTAGTCCCTAGGATAAGACTGCAAAGGCCAAAATTCAGAATTAATATAGGTGTATCTTCTAGTTTATGAAATTAAGCTATGTGCAAACCATTAGAGAACTGATTGCTCTGAGAACTGGAACTATAACTAAGTAATGAAAACTAAATTTGTATGTACACTTTAAATGCATAAAAATAATTTTTATAACAACTTGTCGTTGCTTAGGCTGGTACAAGAGCAGATGTTTGTGTGTATGTGTGACCTTCCAAAATGACATTCTTCTCACTTTATACCCAAAGTACATCTTTCACAAGGACAAACCTCTAACAATTTCTATGCTATCGTCGAAGCTCCATCTTTCGCTATCCTGAGGTTTATTTGTAAAATGTGTTCTGTTGGTTATTTTTAAACACATGCCATTTTAAAAAATGGTAAGAAATAAATTGTATGTATTCTCCATTATTTCCTAATTTCAATATGGTAGAGTAAATAAGAATCCCTTATCCATATAGCATTGTAGACTTCCAAGCCTGTACTTTACTCAATTTAATTTATAAATCAAGGGCTTGGAGTAAAGTGCTTTTGCTAGCATGGCAAGGCCCTGGGTGCTATCTATGCATAAATATGAATAATTAAAAATTAAGTGTTTTCCTTGACTTGGAAACGTTCTCTATAAAATGAAGATATATTTTCCATTTGAGACACAAGTAGTAAACATTTTGTGTCTAGAGGCTTTCTTTCGCACAAGCCCCGCTTCCTCCACCGCCTCCCCTCTCCTGGGCCCTGATACCTCTTCTTCTTGTCTCTGTCATTCACACCACATTTCTCAATTAGGAGCTGCCGCACTCTGGCTGCATCCCCGACCCGGGCAGCCTTGTGGATCTTTCTCAGATCCTTGTCTCTCAGGTGGTACTTGGGTGAGAGAAGGATATTGGCACTCTCAAACCCAGTGCCCAGGGATTGTCGTTGCTGATTGCACAAGGATTTCAAGAGCTGCTGGCTTTTCTTGTAAGACAAGTTAGCCACTTTCGACATGTCAGAGGCTGCGGAACCCAGAGGCCCCTTCCATCTGTCTTCAACACGCGACCAGATGTCCAGTAATGTGATGAACCGCTTCCGGAGAAGCTAACAGCTACAATGCGTGCAGAGACCTTGGAATCTCTAACTCTGATTGGTTAAAGGTTAGCGGTTATGGTTGCATAGTAACTCTGTAACATTGCCTACTCTTTTGCTCAGGTGTCACAGCCAAACAGCCAGGGTGCTCAGTGAACATGCGCAGTTCAGGGCCTGCCAAAGCCCATATATATATATATATGTATATATATATATATATGTTATTTTTAAATTTAAATTTAAATTAGAAACAAGGTTGCTTCACATGTCAGTTTCAGGTCCCTCTCCGTTTCCCTCCCCTCCTCCCGTGCCCTCCCACCAACCCCCCCAATATCCACTCATTTCCCCGGGGAGGGTGAGGCCCTCCATGGGGGTGTCCATAGTCTGTCATTTCATCCAGGGCAGGGCCTAGACCCTCCCCCAAGAGTTCAGGGTGAGAGTGCATCTCTCATTGTTGGATGCAAAGTCCTACTTTTAAATCGTTAAGCAATTAAATTTGAATTACAAAACCAACTCTCCATATTATCACTGGAGAGACAGACTGAGACTTGAAAAATCAATGGGGTGACAACTGGGCTTATCCTTATCACCCAGAGGGCATCCTTCAGGAGACCCCTGCCCTCTACAGATGACCATGCCCTGAAAAATACTGTCATTAGCAGGGGATTGTAATACACTGCCTGGATGTCAGTAAATTAGAGATGTTGAGCTGTCTCTTGACTAAGGCTCATGGGCTTTTGGAAACACTGAGCCTGAAAATGCCCTCTGCGGGAAAACAGTCTATAAAGATGATCCATTTTTGTCATCCAGGCCCTCGTCGTTGGGGGCCACCTAGCACTGGTTGGACAGCGCTTAGGCCACAGCAGCACACTGACAGGAGCATTGATCAGACTCTGCACAGACAAGAGTGACAATAGGCAGGGCCTGGAGGGAACCACTTACACCATGTTGTGACCCCACCCAGCCCAGAGCAGGGCTCAGTGCCAGGTGGATGGAAGTCTTGGGAGACTGTCAGGGAGATGGAGCTGGCAGTTTGACTTGAGGTGTGCTCCATCCAGGCCTCAAAAACTTGGAATGAGAAGGACATTGGGAGTGTTCTGATTTGGACAATTTCTAATAAAACATCTTTCAACATTTGTGTTATATGAACATCAGATTTTTTTTCTCTGGGGTTAAAACTTGGGAACAGAATTACTGAAATTAAGTACATGTTTGTAGTTTAAAAATCTACTGAACTTTTCTCTAAGGAGGCTGTATTTTTTGCATGTTTACCAGCAAGGCTTTGGAATGCCAATTCCATGACCTCATCAACATTTGGATGGCTTTATTTTAGTTGTGTAGGGCAGCTCACTGAGGACTGCATGTGCAAATTCCCCAAGATCATTGATGCAGAGATGTTATGATTTGCTTCTGTATATTAGCTTCAGGAGTATGTCTATTCAAGTGTCTACCTAGTTTTATTTGAAAAATTGTGTTTTGACAATTGATACTATGTTTTAGAAACAAATATTTTGTTGGCTATGTGACTTTAAAGTAGTTCTTCTCAGTCTGCCCCTGGTATTTCTAAGTGCTTTTTTTCCTCCAATAGCATAATAATTAATTTAAATGAAGATTGCTGACTACCTTGTATGCCATGCTAGAACCTTCATCCAGTGACTGACAGAAGCAGAGGCAGACACCCACAGCTAAATACTGAACTGAACTCCTGGAACCCAGTTGCAGAGAGGAGGGAGGAGTGGTGAGCAAAGGGGTCGAGATGGGGCTGGTGAAACCCAGAGAAACAGCTGACCTGAACAAGGGGAAGCTCATGGACCCCAGACTGATGGATGAGAGTCCAGCATGGGACTGATCTAGACCCCTAAATTTGGGTGTCAGTGAGGAGGCCTCGGCATTCTTTGGGGCCTTGGGAACTATGTCAGCATTTATCCCTGGCATCCAAATGGACTTTGGGAGCCTATTCCACATGGAGGGATGCTCTCTCAGCCTGGATACATGGGGGAGGGCCTAGGCCCTGCCCTGGATGATATGACAGACTTTGGAGATCCCCCACGAAGGGCCTCATCCTCCCTGGAGAGTGGAGTGGGGACTGAGTGAGGGTTGGGGAGCTGGTAGGGGACAGGGGAGGAGGGAAGGGGGAGGGAGCTGGGCTTGACATGTAAAACAAGCTTGTTTCTAATTTAAATTAAAAGAAAATTGATAATCTAAAGGTTTATGGAATAATTCACACATGTGCTGTTTGAGTCATGTTCTTTATTCTTTTGCCTATTTTTCTATCCTTTAATTTTCTTTTAAGTTCTAATTCTTTCAATTCTCTCTGCTTCAATGTTCACCTAGCTTAAATACACTTTTTATAGTAGTCTTGAAGTAATAATAAAAAACAAATAACAAGAGTTACACCTCATTGGTTAAAAGCACATTCCTTTGTGTGAGTGATAAGGGCAGAGTCCCTTACCATGGCAACACAAAGTTTCAAGGTTTCTGGAGTAAGACTGTGACCAGAGGGCAGGGACCCAGTGCCCAGTAAGACAAACTTCGAGACATAGGTCTTTTACCAGCCAGACTTGGAAAGCAAAGAATTGGCATAATTTTTAAAGGCTGTTTTGTGTTAATAACTTTGGTTAAGCACCTGTGACTCTGACCTTGAGCATAACTGTAAAATTTTAAACTGATGATCCATTTACAAAAACCTTTAGTCTAGTGTAAATTTGCTCTGAGGTAAAAATGAGTTAATTGTGGGCAGTTTGTCTTAGACTGAGGAGAAATTGCTATTTTCTTGTGTTAGTCTGAGTAAAAGGAACAAAGCAGGCTTCTAAGTGTCTATGGTACAATAGATCTAGTTATGAAGCTATTCCATCATCCTCAGAATGAACCATGAACTACATAGATGGCCCTGCACACAAGGGAGCTTGTTTAAAGATGTTAGCAGCATACTGTTTGTTTTAAAATCTTTTTTATTTAAATTGGAAACAAACTTGCTTCGCATATCAATCCCAGCTGCTTCCCCTCTCCTCCCCTCCTCTCTCACCTCCAACAACCCCTCTAGCCCTGCCCCCAATCCCCACTTCACTACTCAGGGAGGGTGAGGCCTCTATGGGGGATTTCCAGAGTCTGTCATGTCATCTGGGCCAGGGCCTAGGCTGAAAGAGCATCACTCCATGTGGAATGGGTTCCCCAAGTCCATTTGGATGCCAGGGATAAATACTGATCTACTATCCAAGTCCCCACAGATTTCTGAGGCCTCCTCACTGACACCCACATTCAGGGGGTCTGGATCAGTCCCATGCTGGCCTCTTAGCTATCAGTCTGGGGTCCATAAGCTTCCCCTTGCCAGATCAGCTGTTTCTCTGGGTTTCACCAGCCCAGTCTTGTTCCCTGTGCTCATCACTCCTCCCTCTCTGCAACTAAATTCCAGGAGTTCAGTTCAGTGTTTAGCTGTGGGTGTCTGCCTCTGCTTCCATCAGTCACTGGATGAAGACTCTAGGATGTCATATAAGGTAGTCATCAAACTCATTGCCAGGGATGGGCACTATTGGTTAGATTGCCAGCTGGTGTCATCCTTGTAGATCTGGAGATCTCACTAGTGCCAGATCTCTCCTGAAACCTATAATGACTCTCTTTATTATAGTATCTCTCATCCTGCTCTCCTCTATTCCTTCCCCTACTCAACTGTCCTGCTCCCCCATGTCCTCCTCTCCCCCTCTTTTTCTCACCCTCTCTTTTTCCCAGCTTCCTCTCCCCCTCCCCCATGCTCCCAACCTGCTCAGGAGATCCTGTCCTGTTCCCCTTCTCTGGGGTACCATGCATATCTCTCTTAGGGTCCTCCCTGCTTCCCAGACTCTCTGGCAGTGGGATTGTAGGCTGGCACTTCCCTGCTTCATGTTTAAAATTCATATACAAGTGAGTACACACTATATTGGTCTTTTTGTGACTGGGTTACCTCACTCAGGATGGTTTCTTCTAGTGCCATTCATTTGCCTGCAAATTTCAAGATTCCGATTTTTTTCTGCTGAATAGTACTCCATTGTGTAAATGTACCACATTTTCTCTATCCACTTTTCAGTTGAGGGGCATCTAGGTTGCTTCCAGGTTCTGGCTATTACAAATAGTGCTGCTATAAACATTGTGGAACAGGCATCCTTGTTGTGTGAATGGGCATCTTTTGGGTATATGCCTAAGAGTGGAGTTGCTTGGTCTTGTGGTAGATGGATTCCCATTTTCCTGAGGAATCTCCATATTGATTTCCAAAGTGGCTGTACAAATTGGCACTCCCACCAGCAGTGGAGGAGTGTTCGCTTTTATCCACATCCTCTCCAGCATAAACTGTCATTGGTGTTTATTTTAGTCATTCGGACAGGAGTAATGGTATCTCAGAGTTGTTTTGAGTTGCATTTCCCTGATGGAAATTTCTTAAGTGTCTTTCAGCCATTTTAGATTCCTCTATTGAGAATTCTCTATTTAGTTCCATACTCCACTTTTTAATTAAATTACTTGGTGTTTTGGGGACTAGTTTCTTGAGTTCTTTGTAAATTTTAGAGATCAGCCCTCTGTCAGATGTGGGGTGGTGAATATCTTTTCCCATTCTGTGGGCTGCTGTTTTGTCTTGTTGACTATGTCCTTTGCCTTACAGAAGCTTCTCAGTTTCAGGGTGTCCCATTTATTAATTGCCAATCTCAGTGTCTGTGCTACTGGCGTGTTCAAGAAGCGGTCTCCTGTACCAATTCATTCAAGGGTACTTTCCCCTTTCTCTTCTAAGAGGTTCAGTGTAGTTGGATTTATGTTGTGGTCTTTGATCCATTTAGACTTTAGTTTTGTGCATATATTTGAATCTATCTGCTGTCTTCTACATGCCAGCATCCAGCTATGCCAGCACCATTTGTTGAAGATGGTTTCTTTTTTCCATTGTATAATTTTAGCTTCTTTGTCAAAGATCAGGTGTTCAAAGGTGTGTGGGT